TGTTTGCATTTTTAAATTCCCATCCTCCAGTTGTGGAAGGAAAAAATTCGTCTAAAGGAATTTCAGGCATCAGCCAGCAGGTGCAGTAATGTTTGTGTCAAGGGAAGAGGGGGATGAGTTCTGAAAGTAAATCTGATTTAGCCCTCCTGGGACCTGGAAAGAGTGGGGTCAGAAGCAGAGGGGCTGGGCCCCTCCCCAGGTGGGCTCCCTGATCCCCTGGAAGACAGCTGGAGCTGATCTGGTTCCAGCTGCAGGAGCTTCCTGGAAGGGGGTGGGGATGTCCTCCAGCATCTAGAGTCTGCCTTTCCAGGGTGAGTCCCCCAGGTATCTGCCCCTATCGTCTTTCCTTGCCCCCCTTCTTTCACATGAACCCCTTTCTTGAGTGTTTTCAGGACCCCGTTTGTGCTTCTTTAGGTGGCGTTCAGTGAGATTTTCAAACTCCAGCCCCACCAGCCAACCTCTGCCGCCCACACGAGGACCAGACAACCTCCAGGCCCACCGAACACCCATCAGCGGAGGAGCTGGAACCCCGCTGGTGGACTCTAGTCAATGTGCTGAGAATAAAATCACTGAAGACCAATCTGCCAACTTCTCTGAGTTGGTGAGAATTTTTTTCAAAATTTCTGGGGTTTTGCCTCCCCTGCCAATTTAAATACAAAGGGTCAGATTTCTCTCAAATGCAATCTCCTGCTCTCCTTATTTGTGCAGACTTACCCGTGCTCCGGCTCCAGAGGTTATGGCACAAATACCCTCAACTGGGTCAAGGACAGACATCACAGCCACTTCACAAGTGGGGACAGAGGTGCTGCAGAGGCAGGATCCAGAGTGGGGGCAGGGCTGGGGCTGGGCAAACTAAAACTTAGAAAAATACTCAGTGAGTTATTAATAGCGCTTACCCAGGGGTTGGAATTCAATCTTTCTAACAGGTGAATTTTTATTTCTCCCTCACACATTCGTGTATTACTATAATTATTCACAATGATTTACTTTTATGATGTGCAAAAATAATCCCGGCAGCCCTCTTTGCCCATGAAAACATACATTAGAGCCAAACAGTATTAAAAAGGTGGCTTCATTCTCAGATCCCTATAATCATTAACAGTCACAAAAAATTCTTCCCCTTTTGTCATCTTTAACAATATAGTTCCAGTATTCCATGCATAGTCTCTGTTTTTCCTCCACATTTTGTCTCTGACTGACCTAAAGTCTGATGAGCAAAAATGTGCCTCTCCCAGTATGTCTGCTGAGCTTCCTCCTCGTCCCAATCGTATGGCTTTAGGAGACCTTCCCTTCCATCACTCTCATTATGTCAGAAATGTCACACCTTTGTGTTTCTATTTCCCATTATTTTCATAAAGTCTAAGGGTGAAATGCAATAAAACAGTTGTTCTGAAACTTTTTTGAAAGCCACCAACACTTTTCTCTGAGAAGTGAACAGCCAACATGGAAGTTGAGGGTGGAGGGGCCTGGACTCCTCACTCCCAACAAGCACCTAGGCCCCCATTTTTCCTACTGTCTGGAGGCACCTTCACACATCTGAGGCAGGATTTAAAAATCACATTCTTAAATCATTTCCATAAATTATTCAAATACCTGCACAGACACGCCCTGGTTGACTTGGCCCAAAGCGAACTCTGGCTGCCAGCAGCGCCACCATGTGATGGCCCACAATGGCTGTCCCTCAGCAGACACCGAAATTTGGATGTGGCAAATAAAAGATGGCAAACGGGTGTCACCACAGAATGCATAAGGGATATTCACAAATAACCTCAAACCTACCAGAATGGCCACCATCAACAAATCATCAAACAAGTGCTGACAAGGGTGTGGAGAAAAGGGGACTCTAGTGCACTGCTGGTGGGAATGCAGACTGGTGCAGCCACTATGGAAAACACTATGGTGTTTCCTCAAAAAAATTAAAAATGGAACTGCCATTTGATCCAGTGATCCCGCTTCTAGGAATATACCCTAAGAAGCCTGAAACACCAATCAGAAAGAATATATGTACCCTTATGTTCATAGCAGCACTATTTACAATAGCTAAGATCTGGAAATAGCCCAAGTGTCCATCAGTAGATGAGTGGATAAAAATGCTGTGGTACAAAGTCCGGCCAGTGTGGCTCAGTGGATTGAGTGTTGTCCCATGGACTAAGAGGTCCCAGTTCAATTCCCAGTCAGGGCACATGCCTGGGTTGTGAGCTCAATCTCCAGTGGGGAGTGTGCAGGAGGCAGCCGATCAACGTTTCTCTCTTACATTGATGTTTCTCTCTCTCCCTTCCTCTCTCTAAAAAAAAACAATAAAAACATATATTTTTAAAAAGCTGTGGTACAGCCCTGGCCAGTTTGGCTCAGCGGTTAGAGCGTCGACCTGCGGTCCGGAGAGACCCGGTTTCGGTTCCCGCTAAGGGCACGTACTTCGGTTGCAGTTTGTCCCCGGCCCTGGTTGGTCGTGCGGGTGGCAGCCACTCGATGTGTCCCTTCACGTCGATGTTTCTCCTTCCTCTCTCTCCCTCCCACTCTATCTGTACAAAAAATGGAAAAATATCCTCGGGTGAGGATAAAAAAAAAAAAGCTGTGGTACATTCACACAGTGGAATACTATGCAGATGTAAGAAAGAAAGATCTCTTGCACTTTGAGACAACATAGAGGGACCTAGAGAGTATTATGCTAAGTGAAATAAGCCAGTCAGAGAAAAACAAGTATCACAGGATCTCACTTATTTATGGAATATCATGAACAAAATAAACTGATGAACAAAACAGACCCAGAGACATGGAAGTAGGGAACAGATTGATAAACCTCAGAGGGAAGGGGCCAGGAGGGATAAACCAAAGAATGTATATACATATATGTATAACCAAGGGACACAGACAACAGTGCAGTGAAAGGGGGTGGGTCGGGGAGGAGGGTGTCAGGGGGGGTGGGGATGAGAAACATCTGTAATATTTTCAACAATAAAAATCAATTTTTAAAAAAATATATTCACAAGTAGCAAGCACAAAGTAGAGGACTGTATATGAAGGAGTTTTCTCTTCAAAAAGCAGGTATATCCAAACCACTCCCATCTCTCCTCTGGCCACCCAGAGCCCCTGTGTATTACCTTCCATCTCTTTCCCCGGAGAAGCCCAGAGGCCCAGTCAAACCCTCTACAATGTAGAAGGCTTGACGGACCCAGGGTGAGGAACCAAATTTTAAATCCTACCAGTAATTGTTCTGAGACACAAAAATACTCTGCCCAGGAAAATGGGCCTCTCCTTGGGTTTTGTTGTTGTTTTAGGATTGTTTTTGTTTTTTTAGGAAGGCAAAGGACTCTCTGAGGTGGTGTAATTGCCTAAAGGTGAATGGATGGGGTGCCCTCTTGAGGTCTCTGCAAGTCAGGGCTTCAAAGTTGTCTGACACGTGGCTCACACACTGCCCAGGGCTGGACTTCTGTGCTCCACTCCACGTCCCGGGACCCGGGGACTGGCAGCTTCGGTTAGAATGTGTACTGTGAGGGGAAAGGTGTTTCCAGGACTGTTGTCTGAGAAGAACAATGGTCTGCCTGGATCCATTAGCTGTTCCTCCTTTGCTCAACTGACATCCACTGACACTGCTCTGAAGGCTGGCTGGGTGCCTGTGGGCAGGGCCAGGAGCAAGTCCCTGCCATTCGGAGCCCATGGAGTCACCCTGTAGGTGCTCACTGCTTCTACCCCTCCTCTTGTCTGTGAGCATCAGTAGCAAATGCACATTAACTCTAAGGGTCAAAATTTCCCTTCTAAACCCTTCTTCCCACCATACTCCTTCCCCGGGGAGAAGAGTCCTGTCAGCTCACCCATTTCTGGGCCAAATCCTCCATCAAACCACACCTGGAGCTGTACCCTCTCCCTTCCACTCTTTCTAAAATCAATGAAAACATATCCTTGGGTGAGAATAAAAAGTAATTGATTTTTATTCCAGACTCATGTTATCCCACATCGTTCGCACAAAAGTGAAGTCTGCAGGTACGTGTATTTGACAGCTCTCTGTCCTGATGCCTTCTTTCCCACAAGCCTGTGGGGTCTGTGGGAGTCCTGGGGGCAGGAATGGGGAGAAAGGCACAAGGGGTTTTATTCTGTACATCACTTAGTCCCAAGATAAGCTCAGCCAAGAACTAGACGAGGGTTGATTCCAATCCACTCTGATCCAGATTTTCCCCAGAACTAGTCCAGAACACAATTAGTTTCCAGGAAAGAAGAATAACAGGAAGTGTTTGCCTCATTTCAGATGAAGAAAATAGAGGCTAGCTACACTTTTCTCTCTTTGGAGCAACTTTCAGCATGGAGCCGGCAAAAGTACCAGCCATGGGCACACCAGGGGGAACTCAACTTGCAGCTAAACCCTGCTCCAGGTTGCCTTCATTCTCGAGGCTCTAGTCTACCTCACAGACAGTCCCAAGCTTCTCTGTGGGGTCCGGGCATGCCAGCCAGCTGCTGTGCCATCCTGCTTCATCTCCAGGTCTCTTCCTGCTCCCCAAGGGTCAGAGCACAGCCCGGAGCGAGAGTTCATCTCTCCCCTTTTACTCTCAGACCCTTCTCCACTGGGGCCCACTCAGGTCCCTGGCCACAAAGAAAGACCTTAGCTCAAGACTGGAAAAAAAAATGTTTTAATAAATACAAAAACTTTCAATAATGACTCTGCTCAGCTCAGGGGCAGCAGGAGTGAAGTGGGGGGGACCCTTGGTGCTGAGTGAGGATAAATTAAAAATCCCAACAAGCCAGTGACATTATGTACAGAAGGAAAGAGGTTGGGCTTCCAAGGCAGAGGCCAGAGGGTGACAAGGCAAGAGCTGGAGTGGACATGGCCTTGGTCTGGCCCTCCCCCTTGTGGAGTGTGGTTCCCAGAGGTAGTGGGGGAGGGGGAAAGGCAGAGAAGAAGAGCCAAAGGCACTGGGTTTCCGCAGGAGAATGCAGGGTCCTTGGGCGCCACTCCTTCCGCCAGCCCAAGCCCCATCCTCTTGGTCATGTGTCCTTCCAGCCGCTCCCTAGGAGCCCTCCGCTTCTTTCTCCAGCTCTGGAACTGCCCTGGTCTCTGGGGCTGCTGGAGACAGAGGGAGTGAATTTCGGAGGAGAGCGGGAAAGTGAGGTGGCACAGCGAGCCCAGCAGAGCGTCCCTGATCTGGCCACAGAAAGGTCAGTCTTTTCTGAGCAAGGCAGCACACGCCAGCTGTGTAACTTTAATCTGGCAGCCTAATTCCTCTGAGCTTCAGAAAGCTCACTTGTAAAGAAAAGATTACCAGTGACAAGTCCACACGGTTGCTGAGGGCAGAATGGAACGGCAGTTGTGAAGCAGAGGGCACTGTTCCGGGCACAGGCAGGTGCTCCCTTCCCTCCTCAGCACCCCAGTCAGCCCCAGCGCCGCCCCTAGAATCCCCACTTACACCGGCGGGGTGAGCAGTGGGAGCAGCAGCGACTTTCCTTCCCTGGGCCGCAAGACAGTGGCAGCGAACAGTCATCTCGCTCACAGTGGGGCACCCCTGCCTGGTGCAGGACAGAGCAGATCCTGAGGGTCCCCAGAGGCACTAGGGCACAGCAAACTTCAGCCTCTTCAGGGAAGGCTGCCCCCAGGAGCCTGCCCTCCCTGGGAAGGTCCCCTTCACATAAGCCCCCCACCTCACACAAGCCCCTCCCCACTCCCTACTTACCCCACATCGGCAGGTGATGCAGCTCATCTCCCCAAAGGGGGGCACTGAGGGGTGCCAGCTCTGGCTTTCCGGAAACCACTGCCCTGCAAAACGGCAGCCCCGGGGCCCATCGGCCTGCATGGGGTCCCCTAGTTGAGGGTGGGCCCCTGACCCCACTGTTGGAAAGGAGAGAGGGAGGTAAGGAGGAAGAGGTCAGCAGACATGAGCTCTGTGTGGGCCTCCCAGGTTTTATCTGTCTTTGAATCTGCAGCACCTAACAGTTCCTGGCCCTTAGTAGGTGATAAATCTCAACGGATAGATGGATGGGTGGATGGACGGACAGACAGATGAATGGATGGATGGGGCAGGAACTGGAACCCATCATAGCCCACTAATACATGCATATCTTTCCACTGTGTTTAGAACCCTGGCTCCAGACTAGGCACAGAGTAGCGCTCAGTGAATGCTGCATTCGCTGAGGTGTCCCTTCCATCCACCCTCACTATGCAGCCCCTCACCCAGGACAAGGCAGTGAAGGGCCCTATCTGCCCCAAGAGGCCTCCGTGCCCACCCCCCTCACCTGGACACTGTTTGCAGCAGTCAGTGGGGTTGGCGCGGACAGGCTGGGCACAGGCCAGCCGGGGACACTGCACCTTCTCACAGTGCACTTCTCCAGTGTCCCCCTGTAGGGATCCATTGTGTGAGGGGTGTCAGGAAGGAGGGAGAGCACATAAGCCTCCTGCTTCCTCCCTCTCCTTCCGCATACCTCAGGTAATATATCCATGGCCTTTTATTCAGAGGCCCTGGCTGGTGCTTTATCGACCTGAACTAAATCCTCACTGTGGCCCTGCCAGGTAGGTGCTATCACATCTGCTTACAGGAGAGGAAAGTGCGGCTCAGGAAGGTACAGGAAGTGCCCAGGGTTACATGGAGCTAGTCAGCTGGCAGAGCCAGAATTCACACCAGGTCAGCCTTTGCCCTTTGCCTGCAGGAAGCCAACTCTCAAAGCCCGAAGGACTTTCTCTCATTATTTTGATCCTCGAGCCCCTCTCACCAAGGCTGGGCTTTCCTCTCCTGGCAGCCCCCTTCCCAGCTCTGCAGACCCACCTGGGCTGTAGCACTGGAGAAGACTGAGCACTCATACCTTGCAGGTGCAGACAGCACACTTAATTAAGCCAAAAGGGGGCACAACGGGGTGCCACCGGGTACCCGCTGCCCGCCAGCTCCGGTCACCATCAAAATAGCAGCCTGGTGGGAGACAGTGCCCAGCTGCCATTAGTACTGAGCTCATTGGCTGGATCCAAAACCAAGGCTTGGGTGTCAGGCCAAACCCACACCATCTAACCCCAGAGCCCATTCGCAGAGCGGGCTCTAATGAAGTCTATCAGGTGTCACTGGAACCTGTGTCCCTCAGTCTTCACTTCCACCCATATGTACTCTCGCTCTCTTGTCTCCCTCCTAATCCCACTCAACAGCTCCTCTTGGTTCCCCACCTTAGCTCACACACTGCCAACTCACCCTCTCCAGGGTCTCTGCTCCTCGGCAGCCCTGGCAGGTCTCTGACATCTTGTTTCTCTGTGGAGCCAAAGAAATAGTGAAGGCAGAGGGTGATGCCCTCCTTCCCTCCCTAGGGGCCTCATCCTCCATGGGTGGACTCTCCATGACCATCTCCACCCATGCATGGCACTCACCAGGGCACACAGGGCAGCACTGGTCAGGCACCTGCACTGGGCTTGGGCAACTGAGCAGCGGGCACACCACAGGGTCACAAATCACTGTGCGTCTCTGCAGGGAGAGGTGGGAGGTTGATTGGAACCTTTCTCCGGGAACCCAGGTCCCACTGTGCCCTTTTGGGGAGCCTCCTACCTGGCAGGTGCAGAGTGAGCAGAGTGGGTCGTAGTTCGGTGCCCAGCGAGCCCCATGGGGGCGCTGCTGCCCCTCGAAGAAGCAAGTATTGGAGTCTCTGGCTCTCCAGGGGCTGCTGGGTTTGACTGGCACTGGGGCATCAGGGCCCAGCACAGGGGGCAACAGGGGCAGTGAATCAGGAGCCCCAGGCTTTCGCGCCCCCTCAGCCCCTGCCTCCACCAGGCGAAGGCCACCCACCTCGCACTGGTTGGTGATGTGCACCTGAGCAGAAAGGTGGGATGAGACCGTGCCCAGGCTTCCCCTTGCACCTCCACCAGCAGCAGCCAGCCCACCAGGCAGAGACACCTCATCCCCTGAGTGCCCCTGTGCCCCAGGAGGATGCTATTAGTCACAGCAATCATTCTGGCTGCCAGGGCCAGGGTGGTCTGCTGCCAGGATTGTTATTTATGTACCTTGTATGGCTTCATCCTCCCAAGCAGCAAAGAAGTGTGACACTACCACCCCCAGGACTTAACAAGAGCAAGTGGCACAGGCACACAGTGCCAGCCCAACTCTGACCCATCCCCACAGGCCTATACTGCCTGCCTACCTGCCCTCGAAGCTCCCCTTGGGGGCTCCCCTTGGTGGTGATCAGCAGGGAGGCAGTGCCCTGTGCCAGATGCCTAAGTAGCTCAGGCTCCAGGTCCTTCACCACACCCTGGGCCTATGAGTAGATAGGACAAGAAATGGGAATAAGGTACTCTAGAGCTGAGCCTACTGTTCCCAATTTGCAGACTAGGAAACTGAGACCCAGGGAAATTAGATTAATAAGCTCTCTGGGATAGTAAAGCCCGTTAGCAATTGTATGGAGCTCAGAAGCCCAGTCTCTCTTACACCAAGTCCATGACCACCCACCCCACTTCAGAGGACTTGGTCATCCCATCTACTCCTCTGGAGGTCCAGGATATTACACACTGTCCCAGGGATCCCACCAGAGAAGGACGCAGGAAAGAGAATGAATAATAAAAGTCTGGGTCAGATTCATAGCCAGGTCCATTTGACTCCCAAGCCCATGCCAGTTCTGCCATACCAGGCAGCCTGCTCCCTGCTTACACACACACGTGCACGCGCACACGCACACACATGCAAATGCACATACACCAACCCACACATCCCTTTATGCTAAAAAGCAGATATTTTTCAAGCTGCCTCCCACCATCACATCCTCACCTCTGGGCCATAGAATCCCTTCAGCAGCCGCCGGGGCCCTGGCTTCCCAGGGGGACCGAGGAGGTGGGCAGTAACGGTGCCCTGTTCTGAGCCACCAAGTCCAGCCAGTAGCACTTCATAGTGCAGGTGACAATGGGTATCCAGGGAGAGCCAGGCATGCCCTGCTGCCTGACTCTGCACAGGAGGCAATACCAGGGCTCCTGCCAGGGGCACAGGCAGTGCTGGATCCAGACAGAGGAGAGGTGACAGATAAGAAGGTGACCTAGAGCAGCCACTTAATCCCAGCATTCCCCATGTCCCCCAGCACTGACTCCATGAGCTGGCAGACACTGTCCATAGGCCCAGTGCCGGGGGGGTGGGGGGACAGCAAGTTTTAGAACCCTGCACGATGGCAACAAGGAGGGTCTCCCAGCAGGGCCACCCTTTCCATCCCCACCTATACTCTCCAGATGCAAACCTAGAGCTCAGGCAGAGAAAGACACACCAGGCTCTGGTCCTCCGGCACCATCCCTCACATGCTTCAGTCACCGATTAGAGGGCAGCAAAGGGCAGGCAGACCCCTGGGGCACTCACTATCATGTCGGGCACTGTGCCCACTGTAGGGCAGGGCAGCCACATGTCCCCGCAGCTCTCCATCTGGGAAATCTTTGGTGGCCACGTTCAGGAACAGCTCATTCTGCAGCAACATATGAGCCCCTCGGGCACCCAGCCCAGGGCAGACACCCACGGCCTAGGAAATAACCAAGGGTGAGCCCTACCTGCAGCCTGCCAGGTCCCAGATGAATCCCTCCTCAGCTTTCACACGAGCCCGAGATTCTGAAGCCTTTCTGTGTTTGATGTGTGACACCCATACACACTTCCATACACCAGAAACACTGAATAAGACACTTGCAGGCCGAGTCAAGTCCCTTCTCAGCCTCTTCCTACCCATGTAACAACCTTAAGGAATTAACCTCTCTGATCCTTTACTTCATCATCTCTAAAATGGGCACTGTGAGGACCAAAAATAATATAAGTAAAGCAACCAATATAGTACATGGCACATAGACAGGCTCACTAAGCGGCAGCCATTGCTCTCACAATTAGTATATAATCTCCTGCACTGGTCTCCCTGTCTAACTCCTCTCATTTGACAGGAGGAGGGGAGCCATATCTGATTTCCTTTGTATTCTTTTGCCTGAGTCTTACTAAAAATGTGTGCAGTAAATCAGTGCATCTGTGAGCGAGCCTGTGAGTGAGCGAATGATGCTGAACCTATCTACTCATCCAGCCTAGCTTCCCACAGCCCCACACTGTGGTACATGGGCACTGTGGCCCAGCTCTGCCTGTAGCACTCACTGTGTGACCTCCTTGCTGGAGTCCAGCCATGTGGCACAGGACAGTGCGCTGGTCCCTCCGCTGAGGTTTGGTCTCCAACGTCATGGCCACCACCTCGCTGCCTGTACCTACCACTTGCACCTGGTGGGCAGGGTTGGGGAGGGCAAATTGTTGTGGCAGAGAAGACCTGGGGCCTGAACTGCAGGCCAAATCTCCACCCTACCCTATGGCCCTTCCACCTCCTGCAGCCCCTGACTCTTACCTGGTAGATTAGGGAGCCGTTTCCCAGCAGTGTAAGGCTGGCTGAGCCAGCGGCGCCTGTCTGAACTGGGATCAGGGCATCAGCCCCGCAAAGGACACTTTGCAGGACTGCAGAGGGGCAAGACAAGTGGAGGCAGGCTGGCCCCATGGCCATTGATATCCCCAGCCCCCAGGACCCCTCCCATGTCCACCCTGGCCCTGCCCCTGACACTCGTCTGTGCCCAGGGTGCCAGGCTCCACCCTGCCTCACCATCACAGCTCTGCCTGGCAGCAATGTGTCCACTGATACGCAGCCCTGGGCCACCTGCCTTCTCCAGGGCTATCTGTAGCTCCCCTAGCACCAGCCAGTCCATCTCCTGGGCTGTCAGGTTGGGCAGCACCTCAGCAAAGCCTGGCTCCTAGGGACAGAGCAGGATATGGTGGGCAGAGCAAGAGGCCAGAGCAGGTGGCAGCAAAAGCAGACTTTCACTTACTTGGGCTGAGGCATTGGCCTGGAGCTCTCGCAATAGCTGCCCCTGGTGTAGAATCTGGAGCCTCAAAGAAACCTGGGGTGGTCCTAAAACAATGGTACGTGTGGACACTTCTGAGAGCTAGGTGCTCTCCCCACTCTCTTCACACGCCTTCCCCATATCCCACTTACCCCCACTCCTGGATTCCAGCAGCCCACGGAAGAGCAGCAAAAAATGCAAGGAGTCCTCTGTGTCACTGAGAGTGAGCAGGGTGATGCCCCCTATGCCCTGCTGTGAGGTACCTTCCAGGGTCAGGATGGCACTGAAGGTCTCTAGGAGAGGGAGGACCATGAGAGCCCAACAGAAAGTCTCCTCTTCAGCCCACTCCAGTCCTTGGGATAGAGAAGACAGAACTCCATGCCCAGGGACTGTTTGCTCCCCTCACCTGCAGCCAGAGCCCGGTGCCGGATGAGAGGCCCCCAGACCTCCCCTGACGGATGAGTGGGTGTCACCAGTGCCACATGTAGCTGTTCTGCCCGAAGGAGCCGCAGAGACAACCGAGGCACTGCTCGCCACACCCCACACACCTGGAGCGGAGAGACAAGAAAGATTCTACTCAGACAGTATGTAGGACAGGCCAGCTCAGAGGCCCAGCTCTAGTGAAGAAGGCCCTCTTGGGAAACTTAAGAAGGAGACCTGGATCCAGATGCTGGGGTCCAAATCCTGGCTCCACCACTTACTAGCTGTGTGACCTTGAGCAAATTATATTCTGCTACTGAGCCTCAATTCCCTCGTCTGTAAAATGGTCATATAACATCAATGCCTCCTCCCACTGGACTGTTGTGAAGACCAAAGGAGACAATGCAGAGCACGCTCTCAATACAGTGCCCAAACTGGATAAACACTCATAAATGGCATCATCTCACCAAGCCATCTTGGGTAGGGGCTGCAGGGTGTTCAAACAGGACATTGCCGGTGGAGTCTGAGAAGCGGATTCGGGTTGGACGGTCCAGCCTGGGAAGGAGGCTAAGAGTGAGCACTGACTCTGAGCCTGGGCCAGAAGCGGCTTCTCTAGCCTCTCCCAATTCCCCCGAGCCAGCGCTCAGCCCGCCCCTCCTCCCTCCTTCCCCTTTCTCACAGCCGGTAGGAGATGGAGAAACGAAGGCTGGAGCGCAACAGTATCACTCGGGCCCGGGCCACGGCCTGCGACCTCGGCCCTGTCAGCAGTGCCACAAAGTCTGTGAGAAGAAGAAGAGGCCCCTAGTATCCTCACCCGCTGTGGCGTCCAGGCCAGAACCATGGCCCCAGTCCTGATTTGGTCGCTGCCTACCTGTGTGGCCATCTCCACGCGTCCGATCCTCAGCTCCCGGCTCTGCGCGGTCGCTGTAGCTGCGATGCTCTGGATCCCGCGGATACTCGAAGGCCAGGCTCGTGGGCTGCCTCTCCGGACCGCTACGCTCTGCGTCAGGGATGAGGAACACGGGCTTCAGCTGGACGCTGGGATGGCCAATTGGACGCTGCGCCCGCTATATCGGCACCATTGGCCCGATACGAGGGGCTCAGGAACAGGGACCGCAGCCCCTGCCGCCCTCCCCTCACCACGGAACGGGCCTTACCCTGGGGGCAGGTCTGGCAGCAGTGGCCGGGCAGCTGGCGCGGCTGTCCGCAGGACAGGGTTGGGCACTCGGGTTTAATGTTTTTGCAGCTGACCTTGCCCGGGCCCCTCGCGCGGCGACCCCACTGAGGCTACTCACGGAAAAGACAGGAAAACTGAGTAAGTGTAAGACACCAGTCCGTAAGACCCAACGGGGGGGTGGGGGTAGGAGTAGGGGGTCAGAGCCCAAGGCAAGGTGGGTCCCACGGAGGCAGACCACTCTACTGCTTACAAGTTGCAGACCCTAGACAAGTTAATTGCGCTCTCTAGGCCTTGGAGTCCCTATCTGAAAATGGGGATAATAACAGTATCTATCTAGGAATTACTATGAGACAGATAAAATGGAGCTGGCAAATAGCATGACACATAGTGGGCGATCAATAACGGTCAACACTTGAGACTTGAAGGGGGCGCTTCCTCCCCCAGTCCTCCGCCAGGAAATATCCCAAATATCTGCAGGCTTGCTTCTTTCTCCTGAGCAGTTCCGAATCCACTCGGACATCCCCGGACCCCAGCTCTCCCCCACCTGCGAGGGCCCCGGCCAGGGCCGTTTGGTCCACTCACCGTCTCGCAGGCGCACAGCACACAGCGCATCACCCCGAAGGGCTCCCCCAGGTCCGGGTGCCACGTCTCGTCCAAAGCATAGACCTTCCCGCCGAAGGAGCAGCCTGCGAGGACGGGCTTGGCTGGCAGCCGCTGTCCCGCTCCTGCCGTGTGCCCGCCCCGGGCGCTGCCAGCGGGCCCTGGGTCCCCGGGTACCACGCGCCTCGAGGCCCCCGCCCACCCCTCCAGGCCACCCGCTGCGCCGAACCACCTGCGCCCGCGCCCCCTCCGGGCGGGCACGGACTTGCCCCAAGCCGGACTCCCCTCCCGCACCTCCCCGGGGCGCCCACCTACCTGCCGCTCCCCGAATGGGCAGCGGCTCTTTCTCGGGCCGGATGGGCAGTGCGGGGGGCTCGGGGCCGGCGCCGCGGGCCGGCCGGGGGCCGAGCAACAGCAGCCCGAGGAGCAGCAGCGGGGCCGGCGGGGCCGGGAGGCTCGGCATGACGCGAACGGGACAGCTGGGGAGGCGGGAGGGAGGAGGGAGCAGGAGAGGGAGGAGGGAGATAGGAGGAGGGCCGGGCCGGGGGCGGTACGGCGGGAGGGGGCCGGGGCCAGGGCCCGGGCAGTTCGAGGGGCTCGTCGGGCGGCTGCGGAGTCGCCGCCCGGCCAGGCGAAAGGAGCGGCCAGGAGGAACGCGGCAGATCGGGCGCTGACCCGGGCCGTACGCGGCTCTAGTGCCCTGGGCGCCGGCTCTGGCCCGTTTTATGCCCCGTGCTCCGCACCCCGGCCGGGGGCCTCCTCCTCAGCAAACGGGGCGGTGGCGGCGGTGGCTCGGCGAGGGGCCGGGCTGAGCCCCGGGGGTCCGGCCCAGCAGCCGCGGCCCGGATCGCGAGTGGGGGAGGGGAGGGAGGGGCTGGGACCGAGCAGGGGAGGAGGGAAGGGCTGGAGGGGGAAGGGGGAGCGGAGGGGGGAGGGTGAGGGGAGGGACCAAGGGGGCGCGAAGAGGGGAGGAGAGGCAGGTTTGGAGCACCCCCTCTACTGCCGGTGGCCACAGGGTGGCTGGACCAGGCAGGAGGTGCGTATCTGGCCCAGGATGAGAGCCCCAGGCCAGGGAGGGGCAAAGGCTAGGCCTGAGGCCTGGACCAACCACCAGTCTAGGATTCGGTTCCTTTGGCATGTCTTGTCTTTATGTATGACAACGTGCAAGAAAGGCCATCAACTGATATCCCCCTGACTCTGGTGTCACAGTACCTCTCAAACCCCACACCACCCACTTTCACTGCCTAGCCTATGTCCCTACTTCTCTGAAGTCTCCTCATTCTACTGTTCAGCAGAACAAGAACTTAGCCAGAAACAGACTGTGTCCTTTCTGTCTGGTAACAGTGTTTCCCTCCCTACTGTGTAACCTGTCCTCAAACTCATCTAATCATCATCATCCCCAGACTGACATGCTTGTTCACCCTATTCCTTCACCCAGGAGACCCTCAACCTCTCCACCCCACCTCAACCCTCTCTGTCTTGGTTTCCTGGTCATGACTGCCTCCCTGTCCCCTCCCACCCCCACACACCATCTCAACCATCCCAGCACGGTCCTTCCTAATCTTGGGAGGCATCTCATCTGGCTGAAATGGAGAATTCTGGGATCTAGGCCATGCTCCTTAGCAGACAGCCGCACAGCCGCATCCTGGGGAGGAGGAGCAGGAGAGAGCCTGAAGAACTGGGGGGGTGAGGGGGAAATGGGAACAAGGTCAGGCCAGGAGGCCCTGAGGACAGAGACTGTGGGGAGACTAGGACTGAGAGGAAAGCAAAGGAACTAGAGCCGGGCCAAAGGAAGAGGGGAACTAGGCCAGCAGGAGGTATTTGTGGGATAGGGGTGGGGGTGGGGGTGAGGAGGGTTAGCAGCTGTCTTTCCTAAAACAGGGACACATGGGCCTGGTTATTCCTCTTGTCACATGAGGAATGGTAGGAGATGGAAGAGGGAGAAAGACGGTGAGTGAGCAAAGGAGGACACAGGCAGAGATATGTGGGCTTAGCTCTCTGAGCCAATGGGCCCCAGCAGGGGAGCACCTGAGCCCGGCACACACCCCTTACTATGCAGTCATTTCAAACTGTCCAAATCCTTTCTCCATAACACTGGCCCCTGACAGGGTCATTTTCTAATACAGGCAATACCCACATTCCCACTCAGAAAGCTGGTATAAGACATGACCCCCTAGGGGTTAGAGGAGAGAAAAGCAGAAAAGCAAGAGCCTTATTGGATTTCAGCAACAGGTGTGGTATCCAGGGAAAAGAAATTTTGGCCAGCCAGGAACTGAAAACAAAAATGTCCTGCTAGATTGCTCCAGGAAAAAAAAAAAAAAAACGACAACAACCTGTTCCCCTCCCATGTCCTCTCCAGCCAGGTCCCAGGTTGCCTATTTCCTAGGCAAAGACAGATCCTCCAGGTGGTGTGTGTGGGTGGAGGAGCTGGGCTCCGCTAATGGACCATGGTCCAGGCAGGGGCTCCAGGTCCAGCGAGGGTGGGAGGAGGAGGCGTCACTTCCGGAGGCCCTCGCCAGTGTCTGGTGGCTCCCTGCTCTCTGATTGGGCAGAAGTGGCCAAGGCAGGCGTGTGACCCCACTGCTGCGAAGGGGCTATGCCCCAACGCCACATGCTTCCTTACCCATCTGCTCCCCAGAGTGCTGCCTGCTCTGCACCTGAATCCGGGAGCCCTTCTCCACCCGGTGAGTGGCAAGCAGCGTTTGGAGTTAAGTGAGGGTAGGAAGAACATGAAAGAGGAATTGGGCTCTCCACTGGGGGAGGGGCAGGCAAACTGGAACCTACAGGCACTGACCTTTGTCAAGAAGAGTGTGGCCTTCCCAGAATGGGAGGAGTAGGACAGAGCAGGGGTAGGGGGTGGGGTGCTGGGTTCTGAGGGACTGATCACAGACTTGGTGGAATACAGCACAGTCCTGGCTGGCATTAAGGAAAGGGAACATGGGTCCAGGGAAAACATGAAAAAGGAGGTATACTGGGTTTTAGGGAACACAGCACCAAGATGGACAGAGCTCCAGTCTTCCTTCTTACCCAGTCATTCCTAGTTAGCTTAAGGTTCTGAATCCAGAGGCTGGGAAGCTGGGTCAGACAAGCCAGGGCACAAGGAGAGGGTGATGGGAGGAGGGCTCATGCATGTTGACAGACCTACAGGAAGTCTCAATATTGAATCAGGTGCAGGCCTCTTTGCACAACTCGTGAAAGAAGGAGGAAGCCATGTGGGGGGTCCTGTGAAGGAACCGGAAGGGGTCTGAAGAGGGGGCAGGGAGGAAGGTGTGGGCTATGAGACCTATGATAGGCAGCCAAGGCGAGGTATGCCATGTAAGGTGAACATCATCTCACTCAGTAGGTATCCATTCCTGGACAACTTGCCTCAGGAAGGAAATCTCAGAAATGTTAGCCTATCTCTCTGACTTGGAAAACCCAGTATTTCAGAATTTGGAGTTCAAAGAAAAACTTTAAGAGGCTTTATGTGTGTGGATAAATAGGGAAAGAATGAGCAGTTAATTTCTCCCACACCACCTTCTCCTAATCTTTTCATCACCAGTAGTCCAGTTTTGTTGTTGTTTGCCTAACTCCACTCCTCAACCCCACTCCCCAAGCGACCCCGCAATACATTGTTCATGTTTGCTAGTTCCTCATCCTGGCCCTATTCCTGTTCCCCCTCTCTTCTCCAGGCTTGTGGCACAATACTTCCATTCTTTAGCTCCATTCCAGATTTTCTCCAACCAAACAACCAAGGTTGCTCAGAATTTGAGGCCAATTAAGTTGTGTGTGTGGCCCGGCCGGTGTGGCTCAGTGGATTGAGTGTCGTCCCACGGACTGAGGGGTCCCAGTTCAATTCCTGGTCAGGGCACATGCAGGCTTGACCCACACAGTAGGGGGTATGCCGGAGCAGCTGAACGATGTTTCTATCTCTCTCTCTCCCTTCCTCTCTCCCTAAAAAAACAATAAAAACATATATATTTTTAAAAGATGTGTGTGTATATACATATCCTGTCCCGCTGCCTTCGGTATGGGGCAGGGGCACCAAACTCGTATCAGATTCACTAGAAACCCTGACAAAGAGGAGACACCATATGCTACAATCACAAGAAAATGTGGGAGCACTCAGAGCTTTAGTAGTTCTAGGCTGGTCGGCATCGCAAGCCCTCCCAGTATCTGTTCTCCCAGCCAGCCAGAATCTCTTCCTTAAAACATGAATAAGTGGTCATTATTCCTGTCATTTGCAGGATAGATTCCAGACCCTCTTCCTGGGCCCACCTGTGCCGTGCCCCACCCCACTCTGCCCAGAAGTGCAAGAGCCCAAGCCGCCTCCATGGCCCCAGGAAGGATTCAGGGGAGAGGCCCCACACAGGGAGCCACTCCAACCAGACAGCCTGGCCAGAATGGAGCTGACTGGTAAGAACACACTTGAGGGGCTGAGGGGGAAAGAAGGAGATATGCTGCAGTGGGGGAGGGCTGGGGAAACCCAATTTCCCAGGAATAAGGCATGTGAGTGGCAGATTCCCTGGATTTCAGGTCTGGGTCCTAAATGGGAATTCCTGGACCACCACGCAACAGTGATTTCTTCTTTATCCACCCCTTTCAACCTCACCTTTCCTAATCTAAGAACTGCTCCTCGTGGTCATGCTTCTCCTAACTGCAAGACTAACTCAGTCCAGCCCGGCTCCTCCTGCCTGTGACCCCCGACTCCTGAATAAACTGCTACGGGACTCTCATGTCCTTCACAGCAGACTGGTGAGAATCCCCAAGCACTGTCCCTCTGTCCATTTAACTGGTATGATACCCTCAGTCCCATCACTTCCTCTCACTCCCTGATCTAATCACTATTCTTCCAATATTGTCTTTGGTAAGACCACCACCTCCTGACCACCACTCTTTGACAAGGATTATGATTTGCAATCAAGCTCCTTTAAAAGCTCTAATCTGCCCTGGCCAGTTTGGTTCAGCGGTTGAGCCTCAGCCTGTGGACCAGAGAGTCCCGGGTTCAGTTCCCACTAGGGGTACGTACCACCAAAAAATAAAAAAATAAAAGCTCTAATCTGGATCATGGAAGCCCATCCTGGTCATTGGGTCACCATATCCCCCTCTGTTTCAGCTCTCTTCTCTCCCCCTCCCCACCAATCTTTTTCAACAGAGCCAGTGTCCAGACATTAACCCTTTATCCACATCTGTCCTGCTGCCTGCTGTGGACTTTAGCTTGGGAGAATGGAAAACCCAGACGGTAAGAAAGCCATCCCTTCCCTTGGTTTCTCTAAGTCCTGTCTTCATCAGTTTCCTACTGCTTCCTGTGGATTCTTCAAAATTCCTGAGCTGTCTGAAAATATCTCACCTTTCAGCTTGACCAATCTAACCCAATCTACATTCTACTATGATAATATCTTCTAGACAAGATGATGACTTGCAGTTCCAGTATATTAAATAGATTCAAAGCTGAACACCATGAAAAGCTAGATAGAGGTCTGTCATGGGCCATGCCTTTGACTTATTCCAATTCAAGCTTCTTAAGTTGGTGTGAATAAGACTGATCTGCCATCCAAAGATGACCCTAAGCTGAGGACCATAGCAAAAACAACAAAAGACAAACTCGAGGTTCAAATCACTGAAAGGCGAGGTTCAAAACATGGTGAAATTTAACAGAGATATATAAAGAATTCTGCACGTGTAAAGTAATTTAGGCAAGTCCTGTTTCAGCTTTCAGGCCACAATGCCCCTGCTTCCCTCATATAAACTTCCCACCCTATTATTTACTATGAAGAAGATGTAGGAGGGCTGAGTTGACCCCAAACTTCACATGTAACAACATTATTGAAGCAACTACTTAAAAAGCTAACGATCCTAGGCAGCTTTAGATATTTAGCTCCAATAATGTGAAAATATTCCTATAAAATTCTGAGTGGACTTCACTTAAAAATACTGGACTAAGAACTAGACATTATCCTCTAGACACATGCTAATTTATTCAGAGGGACCTATGAAACTAGCATGTGTCAAGGAGAAAGCAACCTGAACAGTAAGAGGTTAGAAAACATGTTATGTGAGGAATGGTTTTTTTTTAAAAAAAGCCTGTCTGATGAGCTTGGAGGAAGCGACAGTCTTGTGGGATAGGCCAGAGCTTTGGTCTGAGACTCAGGAAACCTACTGGGAGTGAGCGTTCCATGGTAGGTCAACTCTTCTAACCTTAAGGTCCCTGGAATCCCATTCTTCCCTCAGATCTTCTGGGAGGACTAGGCTAGGGAAGGGCAGTTTCTAGGGAGTCCTTGTAGTTCCAACTCTGCCATTTATCAGCAAGCCCTTTTTTTCATCTGTATGCTCTTTATGATGGTTTCATCTTGACCTTCAGTTAAAAAATAATCACATGATCCTAAGATTTCTGTGGCAGAAAGAGATTTGTAGCACTAGAACCAAGAGGTACAAGGCATAAAAGTGCAGATTTCAATATAATGCAAGGGGGAGAAAAAGAGCTTTTCTGACTGAAATGAAGCATAAGACCAGGCTGGGTTACCGGACACTGAAGTTATTCAAGCAGAGGCTGATGACCAATTGTCGGGAGACTGTGAAGGAATTCCTGTGCTGGGTGGGACCTTGGTCCTGTCCAATTCTCAGCTTCTATGATTCATTCTGCTGGCTGCTCCTACAGGCTCCCCACCCGCTATTAGCATGCCCTTTGAAGCTGTCCACTTCTCTCTTCCATCTTTCCCAGGAGCAGACCAAGGCACGGGACGTTCTAGGAACAACCACCCGTCTGCTGGAGGGAGTGATGGCGGCACGGGAACAACTGGGAGCCACTTGCCTCTCATCCCTACTGGGACAGCTTTCTGGACAGGTCCGCCTCCTCCTTGGGGCCCTGCAGAGCCTCCTCGGAACCCAGGTAAGTCCCCGGTCAAGGAAACTATAAAAAACGGTGCTCTTCTGACTCAGTCTCCTTAGAAAACCTGAGGGGAGAGGAATTCTAAGAATGTTGAGGTAGAAGAGATGACCTACCAAGGAATGCTCCCTCCCAACCACAAAGCCTGGGTGCTGGTACACTATCTTTCCACATAGACAAGGGAGCCATGAAATCTGGCCCAGGTCTCTGGCCTCAGGCCCATCCTCTGCCCTCAGCTTCCTCCACAGGGCAGGACCACAGCTCACAAAGATCCCAATGCCATCTTCCTGAGCTTCCAACAACTGCTCCGCGGAAAGGTGCGTTTCCTGCTGCATGCGGTTGGGCCCACCCTCTGTGCCAAGCGGGCCCTCGCCACCACAGCTGTCCCACGCAGCACCTCTCTATTCCTCACACTGAACAAGCTTCCAAACAGGACTTCTGGATTGTTGGAGACAAACTCCAGTGTTCCAGCCAAAACTACTGGCTTTGGACTTCTGAAGAGGCTGCAGGGATTCAGAGCCAAGATCCCTGGTCTGCTGAACCAAACCTTCAGGTTCCTAGACCGAATCCCTGGACACCTGAACAGGACGCACGGACCTTTGAATGGAACTCATGGACTCTTTCCTGGACCCTCACCCAGGGCCCTGGGAACCCTGAATATTCCTCCAGGAACTTTGGACACAGGCTCCCTGCCACCCACCCTCCAGCCTGGATATTCTCCTTCCCTAACCCATCCTCCCACTGGACAACGTATACTCTTCTCTCTCTCACCCACCTTGCCCACCCCTGCAGTCCAGCTCCAACTCCCGCTTCCTGAGCCCTCTGTCATGCCCAACCCTACCAGTCCTCTTCTGATGGCAGCCCACCCTCACTTCCAGAATCTGTCTCGGGAAGAGTGAGGTACTCTTCCGGACACACCGGCAGCAGTGTCTCCCACGTATAATGACCTCACCAGAGGAGAGGCCCTGGGAGACAACTGCAGCGACGAGATTTCCTGCTTTCACCTGAAACCAAAGCCCCGGAAAAGTGGATGCACAGAAACAGGGATCATTTCTCACTGTTTAAAACACCAGAAGCTATTTTTTTAAGCTATGAATAATATTCACCAGAGCAGCTAGTTATCTTTGGTCTATTTTCTGCACAAATTTACAACTTACAAATTCTCTGTATGCTTTTTCATATGATAATTCCTCAAGGCCAGGACTAGCCTGGCCTCTTAAACAGAGGTAGAGACTAACATTATGTCAGAAAACAGAAAATAAGCTTTGGTTTTCTACTCAGAACTAAGGTTCATCCCTTTACCATACCCTTGACCATCCTTCTCCTTGTCTTAGGAGATCCTTACCCTTGAGAAATGAATGAGAAGTTGTCTTCCAGACAGACTGTCCCTACATAATAGACAAAACTGAGCCTGTATAAATAGAGGATAACTGAGAGTACCCAAAAGCTAGCGGAAAAGAAAAAGATGTTCTTCTCAGGGGGCAATAGTTCTGCCCCTCCCTAAAAAAAAAAAAAAAAAAGCTAACAGGAAGCCTAGGAGTGGCTCACACCTCAGGTAAGGCTGTGCAGACAGTTCAGTCAAGACCAGACCTGGATGTGACAGCTGAGCAAACAGGGAGCTTCAGCAGCTCAGCAGGAAGTTTCCCCGGGCTTGGGTTCCTGCCTCCCTCCTGTGGAGGTCAGGGGGAAGTGCAGGAAGTGGCATGAGCCGGGCTCCTGGGGCTCACACAGCAGGAGAGACAAGTACAATTCAAGTACAAGTTGAAGGCTTATTTCCCAATTCCCAGAAGTGAATAGTATCTAAAAAGCAACCTTGTGTGACCAACATAAACTCTGTTAGGAAATCTCTAGAAAAGAAGCCAGGCTTATGGGGCTTTGCCAACAAATGCCCTCTTGGTGCTTAGGAAGATGAGGTTTATATTGCCCGAAACAAAAACTCTACTGCAAAGGTCAACACTACGTCCAGAGACTCCTATAGGGAAAACTAATAGAAGCTTTTCCTCTCCACTCCCCACCAAAAGGAAAGGAAAGGCTACCATGTAGGTAAAGGAGCCAGGAGCCCAGAGTCCCAACACTACCACAAATATACCAGGACTGCTAAAGGCATTCTAAAACAGAATGAAAGTCAGTGTGCCAGGAACCTTATGTACACTACCTTTTATAAGGCTTACATGACTCTTTAAGGTAGGTGCTATCATCTCTATTTTATAGATGAGGAAACCAAGGCTCAGAGAAGCCCAGCAAGTTCCCCAAGGTTCACAGCCTATGAGCAGTAAAAGAAGAAACACCCTAGGCTGACAGTCTGGAGCCCAAACTCTCCCCAGTGTGGTGCACTGTCCAATATGTTATTCAGTGATTCTATTTATTAGGGAAAATTTCCAAGTCTTTAGGGAGTAAATACATCAACAGATAAAAGAGTTCTCAGTAGAAAGCCAAAGCTCTTGGTAGGGGTGATCAATTTAGACATCTCCAGGTGTCCCTTTCCCCTCTATGGACAGAACAGTTGCCATGGAGAAGGAATCAACAAATGCACAAAGCTCAAAAGTGTTGTCCAAATCTCGAATGGTGTCAGTTTCTGCATGGGAAAGAATCAGTTTGTCCACACTGCAAATTCCAGGATGCAGTCAAGGGAATGGTAAGTGGAAATTTTAATTTACTAGGTACTAAGGTAGATTAAATCTAATAATCAAATGAAACCCTTTATTGTACATGAGGCAGCACCCAGGACCAGATAGGCCTAAGGGACCCGAGACAAAGAATTAGGGGTTCTCAGCAGTCAGATGAGAAAAAGATGCAAAACTACAAAATATATGTAGCCAGAAAGTTTCAGGCATCCAGTACTGGTGTTTGACTTACTCCAGGGCAAATGCAAATAACTCATGGGCTTCTCCAGTGTGAATTAATCTGTCCCTATTGAATATCTAACTCATTCCTAAATAATTGTCTCTTCTTACCTTTAACAAAACAAACAAAAAACGATTACAACCAGAACATTCCTCTCTCTATGCAACTGTATGCCAGTTCTTTCTTCTGCCACCCCAGAGCAGCTAGGACAGTCTGCTATGCCACCCCACAAAGTACTAGTGGTAGTTAGATTTTCCCACTCTAACCTAAATTCATCCTTCTCCACCTGCCCACCCCAAAATGGATTCCATGGAAAGGTTGTAGGATTCTATAAAAATTCATCCCAACCCCCACTGCATCTCCAATTTCCCTCTCCACCCTCCCTACCCCATACTAAAGCAAAAAAAAACACCTTTACCTCCCCCCTGCAGGGACTATTCATTTTCAACCCATTTCCCTAAATACTCTAACACCTCATGTAAAGACCTGAAAATGATGGGGGAAGAAGATACCCCAGGCATCCCTCTAGGGGACCAGTTCCCCTGGTAAAATGTGAGATCAAAAGAGACAACTGCTTAATACCCACTCAGTCTTTCTGGATAGTTAGCCAGAATTTCCCATGGGTAATCAGAGTCCCTTCATCCTTTCTGAGACCTTGAATGCTAGCCTGAAGAGCCAGCTCCTATGCTAGAGTTCTTGTAAACATCACCATTTCCTCAAGTGTGTCCTTCCCCCACTTTTAAGTTAGTGACTACAGTTGGGCTGCTGCATTGTCTCGGGCACTGGCATAGATTGCCAACCTCATTGGTATTAGTGCCCTGTCCACTTCATTGGTCTGTGCAGCAGCTCCCTGTTCAGTGTCACTAGTAAGAAACACCACTTACCCTCCCCTCCAGGTCACCTCTAGAATATAGAGCAGACAGCTAGCTTCTCCACCTCCTCCCATAATCACCAAATCTACTCTTCCTATTTTCTTCATAGTTGAGTCCCATGCTTTTGTCTAAAATCCTCCACCCAAAACTTCCATAAAAATGATAAACAATTCCAGGTTATGCAAGTGACTCATTCAAGTCAACGTGATTTGACTTAAGAGACTGAAAGCGTTGAAAGGGCACAAGCAGGGCTCCTTGCCAACTCAAAATTCTAAGCCAAATGGGTGTTATCTTCTAGGCCTGGGGTGCCCCCAGGAGCCAAAAGTATCACTCATTCTCTCTCATAGAAAATCACACTGGAGGATAAATGTTGGGTATAGTCAGCCAGGAGACTGAGAAACCCTGAACCCAGATACCAAAACGCTGGGACAGACAGATCCTACACTGACCTGTGATAATCCATCTGTGGACCAGAGACATAATATACCATAGGCAAATTGAAAAAAATGATTTTAAAGTAAACAGGGGGAAAAATCTATTAAGGGGAAGAAAAGTCTGAAAAAGTAAAGTTTAATTTTTAAAAATCACATAAAAACAACTTCTGGTTCATTTTAAACTCTCCCGCTGAGTCTTTCACAGGCAAGTCAGTTTCCCATTCAGTCCAGACCACATAAAGGTGCACCCACAGTGGATAGAGAGCCAGCCCCTCCTGAACAGGTGAACAACAGCAACTCCTGCTCAGGCTTGAACAAATGTCCATGACTTGATGATTAAGCAGCAAGGTTGGCTTCAGGTGGTTCAGAAGGCCAGTTTCTTCATCAGCAGATAAACTCTGGAATCCACTTCAAATCCATGCAGGTTATTGGCATCACCCTGCAGCCTCATGAGCAGGCCTCCATAGGACACATAGGCAGAGCTGAAACAGAAGGTCCAGTCCCATGAGTTTGAGCTTTGGAGCAGCTGCTACTCAGCAGCTTTCCAGTCCAGCCTAAGAAAAAGAGGCACGTTCCTAATGTTGTTGTCATTAGGAACCAAAATTCAGACAAAGATGAATGCACAGACATGGGCAAGGCAGTGTTCTTTATGTCAGCAAAGGTGGAAAATACTACATGCCCAGAATAAAGGAAATGGTCAAATCAATTAAGATCTATTCATTTACTGGAATGTTATACAGCTATTAAACTGTTTAGGAAAAGCTTTAAACTGACATGGGGATACATGTTTTATATAACAGTAAACAAAAAGAGTAGAAGAAAACATTGTAATAAACAACAAGATCTCAAAGAAAAAAGCACACAGGAAAAAAAAACCTAAATTATTAAAAAAATGTTTATGTAAAAGGTTCCCTCTGGGTAGGGAATTATAGATGACTTTTTTTCCTTCTTGACATTATTTCTCTGCCTTTCATATTTCTTACAAAGGGCACATATTGTTTTAATAAGATTTTAAGGAAAAGAAAAAATAGCTGGGCAGGGAAACCAAAGAACTAGGGATTGGGTTGCAGAGCAGCAACACACACACACACACACACACACACACACACACGCCTAGCAGTGTAATTACATACTGCTGTATTTATTTCCTGAGGAAGCAACCTTCCTTTGCACTGCACACAGCAAGACTACCAGTGTCATTTGGACTACCAGGGCCGAGGCCCTGACAAAGGGCAAAATAAGCAGCCTACATGTCAGACAGAAAACTGTTCCCAGAAGTTTCTTTCTGGGTCCCGCTTATGTCTGAGGTGCTCAGGGAGAGGGACAGGAAGCATAGCATGGCCCAAATTCTCAGAATAGGGCAGGGTGAAAAGGTTCTCACAAGACCAAGGAACTTACAGGCGTGTTGCTGCTTCAGTAGAAGTTTCGTCTCCCTCAATCCTGTACACCTTCCCATACATTACATACTCAAATTGGTCAGCCCTGTGGAACAACAGTGGCAGTTATTCTTAAAAGTAGTTAACAATAATAAGAGGTTCTTTAAAAGTGGTAACTGCTGACTAAGTGCCAGCATTATAAGAGGCACTTTCCAAACACAATGTTATTTAGTCCTCACAGCAAACCTGCAAACTAGGTACAACCATCTATCTTTTACTGATGAGAAAACTAAGGCTGAAAGAGGTTAAGATTATTCAACAAATGAATGGTTGGGCTAAGATTTTAACTCAGTGAGGCTCCAAACTCCAATCATACCAAATTCTGCTCCAAGATCCAAGGCCCACACAGCCTAGGTCAACTCAGTGGTCATTTCCTCAGCCATCAAAAAAAATTTACAACTCACAAGCATGCAATCGCTGCTCTAGATAAGCACCTGGTTAATTCCTAAGTGCAGCAATTTCCTTAAGGTTCCTCAGATTCTGCTGATAATCATTTACTCCATGAATTAAATAAAGGTCTTTCTACACCACTTATCTACTAAGTTCTCAGGCATATTGCAAGTTCTCTCTCCTCCACTCCCTCACCTGGAAGGTCTATCATCTGTGGGGTTGTATTCACCATCATCCAGGGTACCATCTTCATACAAGGTACTGGCTATGACCAACCGGAACTTGTCACCTAAAAGTAATGGCAATATCTAAGGGTGAAGAACAGCTGAAATGGCAAAAAAAAGTCTCCTGCTATTGTCTGTGTTCAATACTTACCCAAATCTACAGGGTAAATTTGAATGTTCACATCTAAGATGAGGTCCATCTTGAAAGATTCACTCTCACAATGCAGTCGAGACACTGGAGAGAAGTAGAGAAAGAATGGCAGGAGTTAACTGCCTGACCCAGGCTGACCCTGCAGACACCGCTTTGGAGGACCACACACAATAAAACACTCAGTCTAACCCAATCTGCATCCATGGGCCTCTCATCTGCTCTCACAGAAGTGCAGGCTCAATCAGAACCAGATATACAAGAAGGAAAGAAGAGAAAAACTATGGCAAGTGGACACAATCCCCAGAAAAGAATCAAAAGTCCTCTGGCAACAAATAATATCCAGATGCTAGGCCTGCCTAGGTGATTTAGAAACAACCTGACTTTGGGCAAGTTATTCATTCATCCAAAAGTTTTGTCTTTCCTAGCCAGGCACAGTGCTGAGGAGATTATCAGGACATTTAAGAACCGGTGTTTGTCTCGAAGAACATCTCAGTCTCCAGGCAAAGGGTGAGAAACCAGATAGAAACAATTAATGGTCAATGATAGAACAAAGAGCAACTCTTTGTTACTCCAAGAAGTCAACTCTAACTCAGAGAGGGCTTCACAAAGACCTAAAGATTCTAAGAGCAACACAAGAATATAGGTGGGCCCTGGCCAGTTTGGCTCAGAGGTTAGAGCGTGGGCCCAAGGGCCAGAGAGACCCAGGTTCTGTTCCCGCTAAGGGCAGTACATCGGTTGCAGTTTGTCCCCAGCCTCAGTTGGGGTTGTGCGGGTGGCAGCCAATCCACGTGTCTCTCTCACATCAATGTTTCTCTCTCTCTCTTCCTCCCTCTCTCCCTCCCGCTCTATCTGAAGATAAATGCAAAAGTGTCCTGGAGTGAGAATTTAAAAAATAATAATAATAATTACACACACACACACACACACACACAGGTGGAAAGAGGCTTTACTTTGGGCAGTGGGTGCACCATGAAGTATGCAGATGACTTGTTGAGTTGTACATTTGAAACGTGTATGGTTTTGTTAACCAGTGTCACCCCAATAAACTCAATAAAATAAAAATAAAAAACAAACAAACAGCCTGGCTGGTGTGGCTCGGTGGTTGAGCGTCGACCCAGGCACCGACAGGTTGTCTGGGTCGATTTCTGGTCGGGGCACATGCCCGGTGGGGGGCGTGCAGGAGGCGGCCAGTCGTGTTCTCTTTCATTGATGTTTCTGTCTCTCTCTCCCTCTCCCTTCCTCTCTCTCTAAAGGTCAATAAAGGGGAAAAAATTAAAAGAAAAAAACAAACAAAAAGAATATAGGTTCTGGAGTCATATTACTTGCTGTGTGGCCTTGGGTGAATTACTTCTAGGAGCAAAACGGTTAAGACACCACCTAGCCCATGGAGACTCTTGAAAGAAGACAAAGCGTGTACAGCACGTACAGCGCCTAGCTCAGAGTGGGTATCGATTAGAAAGATGCCCAGGAGTTTACTAGCACCACGACAATAGGCCACCCAGGCACCGGGCACAGCAAGTGTGACCCCACGGGGAGCTCGGAGTCTCCGTTCTCTCATCCTATAAAGTGTTTCCTGAGGGAGGGCCCTACATCCGGACCTGACGGTGGGGGCATGCATGCCACATGGGTTGGGTGGACCAGGGCGTGTCCCCAAGAACTATTTAGCCCCTTACCCCAAACCGCCCCTACGTACCTTACTTACCTCGATCAAACTTCTTGCCCTCCGGGTCAATGTCTTTCACATCAAAAATATCTTCAAACAGAATGCCGGCCATGGTAAAAGGGCCACGAGAGTAGCACAGTGGGCTGAGCGCGAAACCACGACTAGGGGTACACGCACCCCCTCGCGCGGAGAAAATGAGGGGAGCGGGGGAAAGTTAGTGCCTGAAGAGCAGCGGCAAGGCTATAAAATAACGCATGCGCACGGACAGGTAGTAGCGTGGCCACTTCCGTCGCCTAACTCTCGGGGCTGCCTAACTTCCGCCCCGAACTACTGCTTCCGAGAGACATCAGCGTTGAGGGTGGGCCTCAGGGCCAGATAGCTCCGCCCTAGGGCGGGATCACAATAGAGACCCCACCTCCCGCCGAGGTGGCGCGGTTTCTCGCTCTCTGCTGAGGCTCTACTGCGCCCTCTTCAGGGTTTCTGTGGGCAAAACTTGAATGCCTGGGGGCCTACCCGAGCCAGAGACCTTGATCCTTGGCCCAGAGAAGCCCGGCCCAACCCTACCCTGCAGGTCCGCGCGCCGGCTCAGGGCACAGTCCGCGCCGAGGAAGGGCGGAGCAGAACCCCGCCCCCAGAGCCGGTCCAGCCCAGCTCGGCCCTGCTGGATGTCACTCGAGCTGGGTCCTTTCAGTTTGGGAATTTGCCATGATGTCACTGTGGGGAAGAGGAAAGCCTTCTCTGTTCGTCCCCCTGGTGCTGCGCCCTCCCCACCACTGTCCTCTTCCCCTGAGCCCTGCTCTCTTCCCCCACACCGCCCTGCAGCCTGGCGCTGACCCCGTCACACTGCCTTCCTGAGCTCTGCCCCTTCGGCTTGGTGCTGCCCGTCCCCACTCCACTGGCCTCTTCCTCGGGACGCTGATCTTCTATGTGCCTCTTCACCCTGACACTGTCCTCTCCTACGTGCACTCTTCCCTTCCATCGGCTGCCCCTTCCTCTAGGATGCGGGCTGCTCTCGCCCTGCCCCCTTCCTGGTCACTGCCCCCTTCTCCGAGACAACACCTCTGCTCCCAATGCCCCTTCATCCTGTCGCCTCCTCCAGCACACCGCCTGTCTCCTGGGCACTGGCCTCTCCCCGACACTATCTCTGACACACACACCGCCATCCACCCTGTGCTCACCCCACCCCCTGCTCTATCCTTCTCCGGACACTGATGGAGAATCAGGAGCCCCATCAGGCCGTTTCCCCATGGCAGCGAGACGTCAGCAGCTGCTCGGGTTTCTCCCTGGACCCTGCCAGGAAGAAGCGACCTCTGCCCCTTCACGCCTGCCTCCCAGGAGCGGCTTCCCCTCGCCTAGACCTCCCTTCCTTCGCGCCTCACCCTCTCCCTCCCCACCTCTCCGCACCCCCGTTCTCGCACCCACAGTCCACGTCGCCCCAGGTGCACCTCCCTGGGGGAGCTGCAAGGAAAAGGAGGAAGGGAAAGCCTGAGAGAGACTGAGCGTCTCAGCTCCCAGCATCACCCCTCCCCCAACTCCCGGACTTCGTGTCCCCTCCGCTTGGCTTCCCACTCCCGACAGAGCAGCGGCGTTCGGGCCGCTGGCCCCTCTGGAGAAGCAGGAGAGGGCACCCCTCCAGCCAGAGAGATTGGGCCTGAATAGTCTAATTTAGACGGCTCGGCCGCCCCTGGCCCCAGACTCTACTGAACCCTGGTGTCTCCAGGCTCTCCCGCCCGGGCGCCTGGAGCTGCTGACCGGGTCCGTCCCCTCCACGTGCCAGCGGACCCGCCCCCGCCCTGGCACCCGACGCCCCTCTCGGCCCCCGGCCTCCGCGGAGAGGGGGCGCGGGCTCACGCGCTCCAAGCGCCCCCTACCGCCTCTCCCAAGCCTAGGAGACAGCCCCGACGCAGACCCCGGCCGGGCTGGGCCGGCCCCTGTGGATGGGCCGGCGGGCGGAGCAGCACCGTGGGCACCGCCCTCGGCCCGCCCGCCGAGGAGGGGACACAAGCGGGAGGCTTTCTGCACTCGGCCGCCCGGGCTGCGGGGACGGGACGGGTGTCGGCGCGGGCTTTGCGGGCGGGGAGCCGAGTCCAGGCCAGGGCCCGAGACGCAGCGGGAGGCCCGAGGGCTGTGCGCGGAGATGGCGGCCGCAGCGGCCGCGGCGGCGGAGGAAGGGATGGAGCCGCGGGCGCTGCAGTACGAGCAGACCCTGGTAAGTGAAGCAGAGCTGAGCCCAGAGGAGTGCGCTCGGGACTGCTGCTTCTAGTCACCCTTGTAAGCGCGAGGACGGGGGCCTACCCTAACCCCGCCCCAGCCTTCTGAGCTGGGGAAACTGAGGCTTGAGGGCCTGAGGGGTTGCAGGGCTAAGGGACAAGCTGCATGCAGGTTTCTGGCTGGGGCTGGGGGCCTACAGAGGACAAGATCAGGTGCTTGTCCCAGGTGTCCTTCCCTTACTTTCCCCCACCACCACTACGTTTTCTTTGCTCCTGCCCCTGGCCACCTGGGCCCAAGTCTCAGCCCCACCACCCCTCCCCAGCACCGCTCACACCCGTTGAATTTTATCTGTCTACACTCCTATCTCCACCATCCAAGACATTCTCTCTGTCCCCAGTAAGTGCATTTTACTGTGCTAGACACCGAAATAAGAGTGTGTAGAAAGATGGTCAGACCCAAACCCAGCGCCCAGCATTGGCAGGAACCCCTCCCTCTATTCTCTGTGGGGGAAAGGTGGCCTGCCAGCCTTGGGGACAGGAACTTAAGAGAGAATGGGTCAGGCAGGAATGGGTGTGGGAATTGGGACCTTTATCCATGCTTACTCTGAGTATCCAGCCCCTACCCACCCCAGGGGTGTCTCTTGACCTTATTAGAAGCAGAGGTCTTGGGGTTCTGAGCTGACTCATGGCCACCAATGTAACAGTGTTTGAAAAGCCTTTTGCCCCTCCTTCTGTCACTGGGGCGGGAAGGGGGGGGCAAACCCTAGGGAAGGGCTCCCTTTTAAACAGCTGGTCCTGGAATTTGCCCAGGAAGGAGGCAGGGAGGGAATCTCTCCAGGAAGAGGGAGCCCCCAGGCTGTAATTGAGGCTGGGAGGTGCCCAGTTAAGAGAGGGAGTAACTGGATGAAACAGGATGACAGGGAGAGGTGGCACGGGTGGGGGTGGAGCAAGGGTATAGGGGCAAGCCTTCACATAGCGTGGGAGGTGTCTGTCCATCTGTACAAGCCAAGAATGGGTCATTGGTCAAGGAAGCCGAGCACCTGGCCCTGAAACGGTGTCTCTGTCGCACCAGCCCCATCCCCATCTCCTTTGCCTGGTCTTTATCTCTGGTACGAGTTCTCAGGGTCAATCTCTCTCCCTGGCACTCTCTGCTCCAGCCTCTCCCCCTTCTCCTTCTGATCCCTTTGTCTTTCTCTCACAGGCTCACCTCCTACTCTGACACTGTGTCAGACTGTTTATACTCTACTTTCCTTCTCTCCCTTCCTCCTCCCTTCTCTTTGCTCCTTCCCCAGACCTCTCTTTTTCCCCTCTCTGGTTCTCTCTCCTCCCTTTCCTTCCTCTCTCTCTCTCTCTCTCTCTCTCTCTGTTTCTATCTTTCCCTCCCTCACCCCCCCCCCAGCCCCAACAGGAGCCCTTTGTGTCTCAAAGCTCTGCGGGTGGCAGCCGGAATCTACTCCTCCCCACCCCTCAACACATGCCCAGCTTGGCAGGTCTAGCCATAGCTCAGAGACTCTCTCATCCCATCACCCCAGCATCCACAGTCACAGCCCAGCCATCAGCTTCTGCTATCCCCCCAACTTACCACTGGACTCGGGGCAGTTCCAGTGTGGGCTGAGGCCACCAAGCACTCCCTACCGACCCAGAGAGACTATCTACTCTCAGCTGGACTGGCAGGCTGGTGGGAGGGGTAGGGATGGAGAATAGGGACAAGGGGATTAGGGTGGGTGGGAGGGGTACAGCTGATTCAGCCAGAGGCCCAGCAGGAACGTGATAAGGATTGAGGCCCCTCCTGCTCCTAGGCCTAACTCAGCTGCCCCCAGCTCATTGAGGCCCTTATTGTTACCCATATGCCCTTGACCATCCCTTATTCTCTGACCTCCCCACCTCCTACTTTCAGACAGCCTTAGCTTTTCCATCTTTCCTCCTCTGGGGCCTTCCCTCCCACTCCTCCTCAGTGCTCCCCTCCCCCAGGCCTGTGAGAAGAGGACTGATTATTCTGCCACCCCCACAGCTGTGTCCCTGTACCTTGGCTGTCCCCATCACTCCGGCCAGGACAGCTCCCACAGTCTGCAATGTGCATTGTTCCCACACCCCAAACCAAAGTGGGACCTTTAGGTTCAAGAGGGGATATATAATGTGGGGGCTGGGAAAAGGGGAGCTGAGACCTCAGGGGCCCTCCCTGAATCCCTTCTCAGCCCACACTCATGCAGGGCTGCTAACCCTGTTTTCCCCCATTGCTCAGATGTATGGCCGGTATACTCAGGACCTGGGGGCCTTTGCCAAAGAGGAGGCTGCTCGGATCCGCTTGGGAGGGCCCGAGCCCTGGAAGAGTCCAATTTCCCCTCCGGCTCCCCTGGAGCTCCTGGAATACGGACAGAGCCGTTGTGCCCGGTGCCGCAGTGAGACTTGGGTTGGGGCAGGGGATCTGGCTGTGCTGCACTGGGGGGACAGAGGCCATTCATTAGAGCTGACCATTGGAGGTTGGGGGAGGCAGGGGTAGGAGCACTTCAGTGCCATTTTTCCATTCTTCCCTCTCTTGCTCCCAGTCTGTTCCGTACGCTGTCATAAGTTCCTAGTATCCAGGGTTGGTGAAGATTGGATCTTCCTGGTCCTGCTGGGGCTCGTCATGGCGCTGGTCAGCTGGGCCATGGACTATGCTATTGCTGCCTGTCTGCAAGGTGAGAACTAGGGCTGGCAGGGGAGGGCTGGAAAGCACCAACCTGCTTCCTCCATGCCACACTTGTCCAAGTATCTTGCCTAGTTGGCCAGCCTGAGTGCCCATCTTCAAACATAATCACTGCCACTCCCATAGGCCACGACTTCTTGCCTTGCCTCTTCAGCTGACCCTCTTACCAACAATGATCTCTGTTCCACTGAAGGCCCTCTAGGGTCCCATCCCTGCCCCTTGTACCTGGGCACTCTGTGATAGTTCCTGGGACAGCCTCTCCTATCAGTATGTCCCAGTGGCTAGCGTGGGACTGGGTGTGCACCTCAGGGGTCCAGCAGCACATCCTCTCCCCACAGCTCAGCAATGGATGTCCCGGGGTTTA